GTAATTACAGGTAATTACAGGTAATTACAGGTAATTACAGGTAATTAATGCAACAGGTGGGGGCCCATGAACCACTTTTTTGGGGCCACGGACCCCCTCTCCCTCCCTGGGGCTCCTTCTATATAGACGTAAATAGTTTTTAATCATAATAATGTCGTCTAATTATAATTACGTCGTACAGGTAATTACAGGTAATAACAGGTAATTACAGGTAATAACAGGTAATTACAGGTAATAACAGGTAATTACAGGTAATTACAGGTAATTACAGGTAATTAATGCAACAGGTGGGGGCCCATGAACCACTTTTTTGGGGCCACGGACCCCCTCCCTCCCCTTGGGGCCTCATTTCTTGTTTGACATCTTAGCCTTTTCTCAGCTTCATATATATTAAAGTAGGTGTTGTACAAGCAGTGATACTGGAAGTATCATCTGCTAAAAAAACTCTGATATCGTAATCAACATTCATAACATTTCGCTAAAGTTTAAGCCTACTCCGCTGAAGCTGAAGCTTAAACACCCAGCGAATAAAAGAAATCAATTAAATATATCACACTCAAATTGACGGAAAAGGACACAAAATCACACCAGTCGAATGAAGTATGCACAATTGCAGAACATTGCAAACATGCAATGAAAACAAGAGTAGTAAATGGGTTGTACACTAACCTTAGAAATCGTTGTGCACATTATGCCGGTTCTGACGGGTTTTTCAGAACCCACTATAATATTGAGTCAGAAGAGAAAACTTTCAAACGCAATGTCCCAAAATACGGAACGCTAACCATCTATGCGAACTATTAATCAAATGCGCCACCACCTAATGACCTCCCGACCCGACCGGCACCGACTTCGTACTGGAGTGGCGTGGCGTGGCGTGGCGGTGCTCTCATGTATAGTCCGTCTGACGAAAGAACAGCACACAGACTAGCTGAAAAGCGTGAAGATCGTGAGGATATGGGCAACTGTGCTGTTCTTTCGTCAGAACGACTACACCCCCTCCACTCCAATTTTCGTAAAAGTTGAAATGGAATGGGAGAAGTTGGAAATTTGCGCACCTGACTGGCCTGGCAGCCAACTTAAGTGTTGAGCTGAGAAGTTTGAAAACATCCTAGTGTTAGAGTCCAACATGTACATAACATTCAAATTCTCACACTGCTGCAAGTATGAGACGTGGTGTCATTCCCTGTCCTTGCTAAAAAAACGGCTGAGAGGTAGAAACTAGTCCAATCCAATTTATTAAATGATCCAGGACAAACCCGGGCAGCGCCGATTTGGTGATGAGCAATGGAATGCAACTAAAGGGTAACACATGGTGCATAGTCGCTATAGGGGAACCCTTTTCCAAATTGTAGCATGACCTCTTAATTCTTTTTCACAAAAAAATATGAGTATTTACCCAAACTTTGTGATGGAAAAATCCCTCACAGCTACAGGGAGCTATTGCACCATTCTTTCAAACTTCATATTTGTACAAAATTATTCAGAATATTCCTATCTACAATTATTAAATATTACATAACTTTGATGAATCAAGTGATGAGGGAATGTGTACATCATCCATGAGATGCATAATGTTTAACTTTGTTTAAATTTATTGTTACAAAAAAGTGGGCATTGAATGCATGACAGGAGGTCGGAAAGCAAACAAAAACATAGTTAACGGATTTTGCAAATATTATTAGTGTATAACAATTCAATTAGAAGAATGAATGAAAATTAAAATTAGTACATTGAGTTACTGGTGAATGTCAGAAGTGGTCTTGCATAAAATAAATACTGGACATATGACAAAGTAACATGGGCCAAAAAACCACGTTCAATTCCAATGTAATACATGTACCACAAGTCTTTTAAGCATATTCATAAACTGTTTAAAACACATTCAGGTCTTCCCTGCAGCTGCGGCTCTTGCAAGTGCTGCCTTCTGCAGACCAATTTCTTGCTGGATTTTCCCCTCCATAACTTCCATCACAGCTGAAATCATAGATTCAAAAATGAAAAAAACATGAAGTCAATAATCTTTAGATAAGATAAAATAGAAGAAAAGAAAATGACTCACCATCTTTGATCATGCTTTTTTCTTGACCCATTGCTTGAATTTTCTCCATTTGTTCAGTAACAAATCCTACTCTTCTTTTCATATAGTCTTTAGCTGAATCTAAATCCTGAACAATATAAAGGAACATTGTAAAATTGAATTACACAAAAATGTTTTATAAGGAAAAGTTATTCAAGAATTAAAACACACCTTCTGCACATAGTATCCTGTACCAATGTCGATGATAACAGAACCAGCGTCAGCAATTTTTCCGGGAACATATATCTTATCCAAAGAGTTAAGAATTTGTACACAAAATAAACATACAATAGGTCATTGACAAACATATTTGTTGATACAGTAAATATCAGCATTAAAGGATACAGATCCTGTGAGAGGAACCAAGATTTCTTTTCCTTTACAGTCTGGCGTGATCTTCTCTATGCTCTCCTTTGAATTCTGATAGCGTGTTTGTGCCACCTTCAAGGACTGGAGTGAGCTCTGATACATTTGTAACTCCTGTAAAAGAAGTAGACAAGTACAGAAGAGAGCCATAGCAAAAGAAAACCAACTATAACTGAGGACATTGGCAGGTAGATAAATTGTAACCTCTCTTGAATTGGATCATTACAGAAGTGGCAAAAACATTATGCTGGCTGAATGGCATTACGAATTAGGAACCAAACGACGCCACTTTTGGCTGTTATAGCCACAAAAGTTGTATCAATCACATAAAAAGGAATTTACCTGCTCTAAACGCTGTTTCAACTGCGACAATTGTTGCAAGTTTAGCTTTGTGATGTCAATTTCCATCATATTTTCACCACCGGCACCGGGCTTTGACGCTATAGACATGGTAATAATTTATGGTTTTAAATCTTAAAATAAATAGAAATAAGAAACGATTTAGATATAGGCGTAAGTTGTTCAATGTTTATGATGATGAGGGGAATCGTGCACTCTACGGGAACAACGATCAAAATTAAGGTTAAGTCTTGGATCGCATCTGCCAGCAGCCTAGCAGGGAACAAACCGGAAATATTGCCACCATTTGAGCTGAGCAGAGCAGCGCAGGACTCCACTTCCGCTATTCTAGTTTGTTTTGGTCCTGGGCTGTCACATTGATCGTTGAGTCGACAAAGTCTGCTTTTGACAATTTTCATTATTTTGCTAAGATACGGGCTGGTTGCCTAAAATGTCAATTTCAACTGAGGATTGGGATCCAATCTCTCAAAGAGGTGACAAAGAAGAAACGCCGAGTCCACAATGTTCATACCGTATCAAGAGGTTAGAAAAGCAAATATATTTCAGTGTCATTCGTGTTCATGCCTCTTTGAGCTCATACATTGCACCTGCCGTACCTCTTGTCTTCGATCCCTCTTCACATACTGGCTTACCTTTGATCTGTTCCCTTCCCTGAGTTTAATTTTTGTTGTAACCTTTATGTGTATTGTGATTGGGCCCTTTTGTTTCTTACCCTATGTGGTTTTATTTTCAGAGATTTAATGTCATTATGCAATGATCCACCGTATGGGCTATTTGTAGTGCCTGATGATGCTGATATCACCATTGTTCATGCTCTAATCACCGGAGCTTTTGATACACCATATGAAGGCGGTTTTTTCTATTTCATTTTAAGATGCCCTCCAGATTACCCCTTACGTCCTCCTAAAGTGAGATTTATGTCAACTGGAGGAGGTGAAGTGAGATTTAACCCAAATCTTTATAAGAATGGGAAAGTTTGCCTTAGTATACTAGGGTGAGTTCATCTGCTGGTGAATCACAGGTATCCTCTTGATATTAACTCTTTCAAATGGCTTTTCTTGGTGTTTTAGAACATGGTCAGGACCTTGTTGGAGCCCGGCTCAAAGCATATGCAGCGTTCTCATCTCCATCCAAAGTATTTTAAATGAAAAACCATACCATAATGAACCTGGATATGAAGTGGTACGAAAGATGATTAGCTTTTTCACTGTATTGAATTGCTCTCTTAATTGAGATTTTTATATCTTATTTCAGGAGAAACTGCCTGGAGATGTTGAAAAGTATAATGAAATTATTCAGCATGAAACAATCCGTGTTGCTGTTTGTGGCATGATTGAAAATGACTTTGGTCTGACAATACCTCCAATGCTTATCAACATAATGCAAAAGACCTTCTTGGAGTATTATGAGTATTATGAAGGTGTTGCTCAGAAGAATATTAGTATGACTGGACATGCTATGCAGGTACTTTTTATTTGATTGTTTTTACACTTCATATCTATTGTAAGTTTCAAAAAGAAGAAGTAAAAAAGTAATCATTCTATTTTTAGGACCCCTTTTCTGAAAAACGAGGATGGTTTCAGTACAAGACAATTCTTAATCGCTTAGAAGCTATTCGAGCCAAATTGTTGTCTGATCCAAAAACTAGTATTTCAACAACTGGATCTCCAACTAGTGAAGCATCTAGCCCATCAGACACAGATTTGGATGAAGATTCGAGTAATGGCTCCAATATTGGTAAACCTGAACCAAATGATCCAATAGACAAAGCTGAAAAATCAGATAAGGAGAATGAACTTGTTGACAACACTTCTGGAAGTTCTACTCCCTCAAAATCAGAAACTAATCAAGATGTATCATCAAAGAGCAAGGAAACTGAGAAAGAATTTCAACTGGACTGTAAGAATGAAGTTGAAAATAAGGAAGATGTTAAGGAAAGTGATTAAAATATCTGGTATATAATTTTGTGTATGTGATACAATCTTATTGCACTAAAAATTGCAAGGACTTAATGTCTGTGTTACCTGATTGTAGTTAAAGCTAAACCTCCACTTTGATGAAACTTGTGTTAATTAAGTGTTGTATCTAAATGTGGTTATGTTTGACATTTTAAGTATATTCTGTTATATTAAGGTGAGATATTTCATGTCTTCTGGCATGTGTAGTTCTGTTACATGTTGCTTTATAATATGTATATTTATAAATAACTATGTACATTCACCACTGCAAGTATGGTGCAAAATTACATGTACCTGATTGGTTGCTTTCATCATAAACTTTTTTGTTTTACCTCATCCCTATGAGGATAGTTTATTACATGTTTATGTGGAAGTGCGGATGGGCTGTGATACTAACACATAAGCCTTCTAACGAAATGTTGATTGTTCATTATTTATGTTTGCACCATGTTTTATGTTTTAGATATTGGAGGTGAGGCTGCCTTATTTTAAGTTACCACTGTGAAACATATTGATTGCAGTTTTATGTTCTCTCACTTTGCTTTAGAAACAATACCATTCCTTCTGGAAAATGCCCTACCATAGCAGCATTCTTTGGTTTAGAAGTTGTTTTGTTTGGCAATGTCTATGTACTTTGGAAGTATTCTGTCATACTTCATATAGTTTGCTAATAACTCTACATTCCAGTGGTAAAGATTCTGTAGAAATATTTATATCTTATGTTGACAGTAGCTCAACCATATCAGTCCCGAAAGTATTCCTATCAGGTGTGATGATAGCTCCTCCACATATCTATGTAGTTTTCCAGGTCATTTGGTTTTTGGTTTCATGTGGAGCTGCATGATAGCTACTCTGAGCTGTGTGCCTTGTTTATTTGTTACTTTAGCTTGAACCATACATTTAATATTTTCCATCTCTGTTGTTTCTCTCTCTTCTTAATAGATTTAGAATGTTAGGTCACCTTCAACAATCGTCAAAGTAGTGTATAAGTGAAAACAGTACAGTACTTTAGGATTATATGTGAATCTGATTTCTCATCTATTGTTGTATTTTATTCATGACATTTTTTTGATGGACAGCAGATAAACTGAGTCCACCAATTTGATTTGGTTTTTTTTTCAGTTCCACACAGTAGCTTTAAAGTCATAGAATGGTTGTTACAACTGTACATTAATTGTGATGTGACAATTTGCCTTCTGACATGCACATCATGTCTGTTATTGTTTGTTTGATGTTTTCTTATACCTCTCTGTGTCATCATACCATAATTCTGTTTCTATTTCAAATGGTGTTAGGACTCATAATTTTTAATTAGGCTTCTCTGAGATATGCTGACTGGTAATTATGTGTTAGATGTAGCCAATATGTATTTTTTTTTCTCAATCAGAGAAAATATGTGCCAACTACCTTTGTCAAAGACTGGCCATACTCTAGCACAAGTTTTACTCTCCGCTCGTAACAAAAAAATTGCATTGATTATTCTATTGTTTTTGAGATGTTAGTTTGTTTCCAATCAGCGTATATTCCAGTATGATAGATGATACACCATTATTGTTCCCTGGTCTTTGTTGTTTATTTAGCACTGACACCACCTGCCACCTGTTCCCTTATTTTAATTTCCTATGAACCTCTGCTCATAATATCTTTGATATTGCTTGTCAATTTGAGTGGTTAAGACTTGAAATTTATTTACTGTTATCTTTAAAAGGTATTCTGGTAATTATAAGTTCTCTTGATTTTAGTTTGTATTGACTGAGTTGGTTCATTTGTTTGCACATGATCAATACTGTTTGTCAGAAGAAGGGCATTTTATTTTTCTGGCCTCTCTTCCAAACAAATGTTATAGCAAATTTGTAGATAACATACTTCTGTTGGCGAGTAAGAGAGTTTATGTTTGAAAACCTGTGCAACAGTTGGACTTGCCTTTTAGACTAAAGTTTACCATTAACAGCCCAAAGAATGTAAATTAAAATTATTTTATTTAATGACAAAAGGCAAGCCCTTTACTTTAAGAGTTGTACAAAAGTTACATTAAAGAACTTAATAATACTAATACTCTGAATATTTACTTACATTTATCATAAATAGAATCTTGAAGGGTTTCACATTCTCGAACCCATTTCACCATGTTATTTATCAAGTACTCAATGAATGAAGGCAGATTAGTTAGATTGGTTCTCTGTTAAATTGATTTTTATTGGTTTCTAGTTTGTTTATTATCTCCATTCTGTTTCAGATTAAAACCTACAGTAAAAGAGGACCTTATAAATTTAAAATTTCATGACATGCTATGCATTCTACTTGTTCACCGTAGAAGAACAGTAATCAACAGTGGGATGAATTGGACTCTAAAAGGCTCAAATTCAGAAAAGCCTGTACATTCTTTTGTGGACTTAAAACTTATCAGGTATAAATACCTTTCCGGTTTGTTATATTTACAGAACGTCTTGCTTTGGAAGAAGCTATTGACTTGCCAATATACTTCAATTGCTTATTCAGAAACACTGTCTTACCAGCCTCCGGAACCTTCGTTGATGAAGATTGATATAAAACTTAGTAATACTTACAACTCTAACTTTCAGATGAATCCTATGATAGGGCTATGTAGATCTTGAGATCTTCTAGTTAATACAACAAGAAGTGCCTCTGAACTGAACAAATCTATGGGAGCTTGTCTACTTTATGAAAATTTAGTGTCAGTGAAAATCTAAAATGTAGCTCCAAAATCTGCAAAAGCCCGCAAATTGCTAGGATTTGCATATATACAATAACAAGGGGAAATGTTGATTCCAATATACATTTATGCTTTTCAAGGTGTATATCTTTGTGTACATTATGCATACTGCACATGCTATAAATAACAAATAGCTCTAACTTTGACATCAGTTTTATTATTTCAATTGCTAAGTTAATAATTAAAAAATTAGAGATGTGCCTCTCTGGCTGAATCTCTAGATATTGAACTATGTGAAATGACTTTAACTGATGGTGCTGCCATCGAATTAATGTGAGGTCATTCAAATAGTTCTAGATTGATGCCTGGTTTTTGTGAAAAATTATAAATAGGGCATTGAAATTTCCTACAGTAAATTATGTCATATGATGATTATCAAGATATGTACACTATGTAATGAATGAATGGGTTACTTAAAATTTATTTAGTTGCAATCACTTCAGTGTAGAAGAGTTCTTTTTCTTAATGTTGACCTGTTTTTCATGTGAAACAGATTGTCATATTGTGCTGTCCTTAAAGTTGATGCTTTAAGGGGTTCATCTAAACTGTCAAAATCAACTGCCTCCTAGTATTTCACTGTTTTAGTTTCCATTTCTTTCTTGTGCACAGCCGCCTTCTGAGGTTTCCTCCCATTTCTCGACTTCTTGTGCCGCTGACGACGTTCTCTCCGCTCCTGGCGCAGTAAACGATCTAGTCTCTCCTTCCATGCTTGAGGTAGAGGTCTGGGCAGATTGGAATTTACAAAGCAGAGGTACTGGCCACGATCACCATAATACCCACATATTTTTGTACGTTCAGTAGCTCCTTGAGATTCACCTCCTCGGCCAATAAGGGCTGTAAGAGGAGGTGAATGCCTTCCTCATTTTCCCTCATCTTCATCTGGAATTCTCAAGTCTTCTTCCACATCAGGGAATTCTACTGCTATGTAAGCTGCTGAGAATCCTTTGGCCACTACACTGTCATCAGTCTGAAATCGTACTCGTAGCTCAACTTCGCCCCTCAGCTCACCAGGAGTCTGTACAAATAATGAAATGAATTTGATAAAATATTTTAAATAACGAAATATTCCTTCCACAAGATATGTCAGGTTTGTACTCACATTATAACTACAGAATCTCCCAAATGAAGAACCAATGGCATCAAAGTCATTGAAAACTTCAACATAATCATAGGAACATTCTTTTTCTGGCTCAATTTCAAAAGTTAGGAATGTGAGTTGAATATACATAGGCGCTCCAGGTGCAGCCCCTATCGTCCACTCACAATCAGCGTGGCTGTCATAATCAAGATCGCCAAATCTTGCATGTGAGTATAAGTGCTGCACCCGAGTTGTAGCCATTAGGTGACCGCCACAAACTGTAACAAGGTAGAAATGTATAAACATATGATTGGTTTGTGTACTAGAAAAAACAGAAATAGTATAAATTAAAAATGTTGTATCTTGCCAGTGGAGTGCGTGGCGAAAAATCCTTTCCGCTGGACTGATGCATCTGATTTAAAAACCATATACAATTGATTGCTCGTTGCAGCAATAAGGTGAGGAACCTTTGATCCACAAAATCGGCCCAAAGTATGAGCATCTGTTGAATCTCCATCGTAAATAACAATATGATCATAAGCACATTCCTGGTGGGGTTCCATTTCAAACTCGGAAAAGACCTAGTTTCAAAATAAGAGGGGGTTTTGTTTGGAAGGATATTTTGAATACTTCAGGTGACACATGTAACTGATCCAACTCATTTCTCACCAGCTTTATTCGGTGTCCAGGGGTGGTTGTGAAATGCCAAATACATTCCCTGCGAGCTGGATAGTAATCTGGGTAGTTAGGTGATGAGACCGTGCCATGTGGAACTGAAATCTCATACTTGCAACCTCCTTCTTTGCAGTCATGACCATTCTCATGAAGAGCATATCCATTGTGACAAGAGCAGACATATGAGCCAAGTGTGTTGCGGCACTCATGCTGGCAACCTCCATTATTTTTTGCACACTCGTCAAGATCTTTAAAAAATAGAAAGAAATTGTGTTAATCCATATTTTCAGCACATTTAAAATTCAGGTAACAGATAGCATAGTTTTACCTGAAATTTCTTTTTTCTCTTTCATCGTAAATATTTACCTGTCAAAAATACTGCTGCAAAGCCTGACTTTTGGACTGAGAGATCAGAATAGAATTCAATTCGTAAAGCATTGCCTTCTGATGTTATAAGAGGTGGTAGGTGAGGTCCACAGTAGGCTCCTTGTTTCTTCAGCTGACCTCCAGGTCGTTTGTGGTAAACCACAACTCTGTCGTACTCACATTCAAGCTGTTCAATGTGACGTAAAACTTTGTAATTCTTTTTGGAACAGAAATAATTCTAAAAGGAAGTACTTTTATAGGGTACTCACATTATTTCCCTCTAAATCAAAATGAGTAAAATTAAGAGTAATACGATGATGAGCTTCAGCTAAGATCTCCCATGTGCACCGCTTGTTTGCTGGGTACATTTCGGGGAATGACGGTGAGGTAATTGTACCATTGGGGGTATCCAACATACCACCGCAAGCATCTGAGGGAATAAAATGATTATTGTTTATAATGACAGTGTATCGTGGGGGCTGGTAAGCCCAGCAAAGCATGGCATCTTTATTAACATACCTTCACATTTTTTGTTGTCTGAATGCAATTCATATCCGATGTCACATTTGCATTCATATGCTCCTAATGTGTTGACGCATTTGTGTTCACAGCCATGGTCCGATCTTGCGCATTCGTCAAATTCTTTCAGATATGTCGCTGAGAAACCTCCTTTCTGCACAGAGCCATCCGACACAAATTTCACGAGCAACTGGTTCCCAGTAGAGTGCACTTCCGGAGGGATATTCATCCCGCAGAACACCCCGATAAGTGGAGCGTCCGTGCTGTTGCCGTCGTACACGGCTACGTTGTCGTAGGTGCAGCTGTCGTGGTTCTCGACCTCGAACGTCTGGAAGACGAGTGCCACTTGGAAGTCTTGGGGCGCCGTCAGCCGCCACACGCACTCCTTGTTGGGGAGGTAGTCGTCGGGGAAGTTCGGCGACTCGAGGTTGCCGGAGCCATCGATGAGGACGTCGCCGCCGCACACCGCCTCGTACACGGCTGTGAAGCCCTGGTGGCCGACCTGCTTGGAGGACGTGATGTACGTGATGAGGAGCCTGCTGCCCGTGGAGGTGATCGTGTCGGGGGTCTTCTTCCCGCAGAAGCGACCTGGGAGGACAGACAGCGGCGTTACGTCCAGAATAATTAAAGCACCTGATTTGGTGGTATACCATGCTGGGTACGTACCAAGCAGCGGCGCCCGGTACCAGTAGCCGTCGCGGACCTCCAGGTAGTCGTGCTTGCAGTTGTCCACCTCGTGCAGGTCCAGCTGCGTGACGTTGAGCACGATGCGCTCGCCGTGCGTGGCCGTCACGCGCCACTCGCAGCGGTCGTTCCCCGGGGAGCCGCGCGGCGACTGGATCAGCCCAGAGTTCTCCTGGTGAGTGCGCCCGCATCCTGTGGGGCATAAGGGTCCCGGTTAGGGTCTTGGCCTCGACGTGTCGGTGGCGAGGGCGCCGATGGATGGCGTTCGTTAGGGATCGTGCCCAAACAACGTGACTTTAAGGGGGGGGGCAAATATTCCGGGGCCCCAAAAGGTTCAGGACGGTCATTAGAGTCCACAGAGACCCGGTATGATATTTGTAGCCTGGGGTAAAAATGTCACGGGGTCCCCATGGACTCCAATGATCGCCCTGAACCGTTTCAAACTTTAACTTCAAAAGGGGTTTTTAACGCACCCCATAATATTTGGACGCCAAATTTGGAAGCCCTTTTCCCAAAGGCTTATGCACGACCCACTTACTCATGCACTTGTACAGCAGGTTGGTCTGCGCGATGTCGCCCTCGCTCAGGCGGATGCGCTGGCCGATCTCGTGCTTGCGCTTGCGTATGGACTCGATGGGGTGGATGGTGTCGAGGTAGGTGCCCTTGGAGAAGGTGTTGCGCGCGTAGTGCATGATGGAGTCGTAGTCGTAGGGCAGACCGAGCGAGTTGACCTCCTCGCTCGTCAGCTTGTTGAAGTTGTACTCCTGGCCGGCCAGGATGTTGTCGCGCACGATCTGCACGTGGCGGTCGCGGTCGGGCCGCGTGTGCTCGTGCCAGAAGCCCACAACGTGGCCCAGCTCGTGGACCACGATGCCGAACTTGTCGCAGTTCTTGCCGATGGAGATGGCCTGTGGACCGTTGCCCCGCTTACCTACGAACGAGCAGCACCTGTCCAGGACCAAATGCACATGATAATCAAACCGGAATTAATTCAAAAGAAAAGGAAGAAACGTTTGACAAGACGCGCTTACCCACACGGCCGCTCCGTAAAGAGGATGTAGTTGGGGTGCTCCTCGGGCACCCGCTCCACGAACTTGACGCACGTCGAGTTCTCCCAGTGCCGCATGGCCTGCTTGAACAGGGCCTTGAGGGAGCCTCCGAACATGTGGTCGATCTCGTACGGGATCACGCCGTAGTCCCAGATCCTCTCCTTGCGCGCCGTGGCCGCCCGGGGGTTCCTACTGCGGGGCTCCTCCGCCCTGTCCACGACCGCCAGGGCGCTGCTGCTGGCGCTGCTGGGGGCGGCCGTTCCGTCAGGCCGATGTCGCTGTCTGCGGCATGAATGACCAAAACTGTCAGACGCCGCAAGTATCACTCCCCTCGCACAGGGTGGCCGGCTCCTGGAGCCATGCGGCTTGTGCATTAGGTCATTGGTGATAGGCAAAACCGCACCAACCGCACACATGCCTTCGGGTGCTGGCCGGCCACCCTGTACCACCCTACCCGCTCTTCCCGTAAGGAATGTGCCATAGCCCCTTGGGTAGGCGAACCGCCCGAACCCGCCCACGCCCGGTACCCGCCAGATTATCGTACTAATCATGCTTACCGGTTTTTTCTGCCACGCTGCTTTCTGGGTCTCGGCGTCATCTTGGATTCGATTTCCTCGGCGAGGTCCTCGACGGGATCCTCTGCCTGGTCCTCGCCCTCAGACCCGTGCCGCTCCCTAGCCCTCTGCGCGGCCTTGGCTCGGCCCCTGCCTTTGCCTTTGCCCTTGCGCCCAGCCCTGGTCGACTGCCTCGTCGACACCTCTGTGGACGTGGACACGTCCGCAGGGGTGGTGGCCATGGTCGTGGTGCTCGTCCTTGCCTTGTGCTGGTGCTTCTTGCCAGCCGCCTTGTTTCTGGGCGCCTGCGTGGCCGGCCTTCCCGTGGTCGTCGTGGTGATTGGGGTTGCAGTCGTCGTCTTGGGCTCTTCGCCGCGTTTCTTGGCGGGAGGCACCGCGGAGGTAGTGGCCGGGCTGTCCGATGGATAGCTCGCCACCACGGCCTCCTCGACCATAATGTCGTCTGCGTCGCGGTCCTCGTTCTCCTCGTCGGCGTCCTGGCCGGGCAGGCCGTGCTTCTTCTGAAGGCGCGTGGTCTCCCGATGGCGCTCCAGCTCGCCGCCGTCGTCCGTGGCGTACACCATGGTGGGCGCGCGGATCACCTCGCCGTTGTGCACGCTGTGGCCCAGGAGCACCGCGAGCTCGCCCGGCTGCACCACGCGGCCGTTGTGGACGAGCGGGCCGCGCAGCACGTTGGGGACGACGGCCGCCCCCGCGCCCGAGGACGCCGGCGAAGAGCCAGACGACGACTCTTGCTTTTTGCGGAACTCCGGCAATCCCTCCTCCTCGACCTGCAACTCGAGAAACAAAACTGAAGTCGACCGAACAAAGTTAGCCTACTTTACGAATTGTCCTCCTCTACAAACCTGCAGTCCCTCGAGAAGCGCCATCTTGCGCACCTCTTCGGCCTCCTGCTCCGAGCGGTTCTGCTTGTGTAGCTGCCACTCCAGCTCGTACTGCACGTTAGGCAGCGCGATGTCGCCCTGGAACCCACCTGGAGGAGCAGAAAATGAGAAGACGTCTGTTAGACCTGCCCTCCTGAACCCGCGCCTGACGCGCAGTAGTTGAGGCTGAAAACAATAAGGGATGCGCGGTTGGCGGGGCGGGGCGGGGCGCGGCGGAGCGGCGGAGCGGCGGAGAGGTCCGCTGGTGCAGAAGCAGCAGTACGTGATTTGGCGATAGCACACCGACTTGACGTTCGCGCGGTTTGATAAATGAAATGTCAGAGCCCTTGGGTCTCGGCCGCGCGCCCGGGCCCCTCGCGCCCCTCCCCCTCAGTTTTCAATTATGCCGCTGTCAAGCCGGAAACTTATCTCCGCGACGCAAAGTAAGCGGAGGCTTTCCTTCTTACTCGAGATCGCAGGGCAGATCGCAGCGCGCGCGGGGCGGCAGCTTGGCGCGCTGGGGTGGGGCG